AGTTAGTCTAAAGAAACTTCACCTATTATAATGTTTTGTACATAAAAACATACATGATTAAAAAATATTTTTTGTAATATTTTAATATAAGTACAGCACTAATCTGACCATAAAGGCACTGTCAAAGTAAACTGAAACAAAGTACTCTGGTAAGAAATACAACCAATTAAAGATCAAAAGCTTACTGTTACACATGAGGCAGCTTTCATAATTTTTATCAATAATGGCATAATATTTCAAGAAAATGATTTTCTACCCTACTAAACTTCAATATAAATTTCTTATAAACCAAATTCTTTGAAAAATAAAATCCATTTCCCTTTATCTGATGCAATCTACTTATCTAGGGGATTAGGTTCCAAATAAAAAATGCACGTAACTCTGTCTGTGATTTGAGGATTTTTTTTTTTTTTTTTTTTTTTCATTCATTCATAATGAACTTATTGATATTATTATTTGTTGCCTCAAATACTCATAATACTGATCTGCTAATGAAACATATATAACAGCTAAAGAACCTATATTTTCACATTACAGTATCTTTCTCTGAATATTTTTTTTATCTCTTTCACATTTGCAAGTTTCAACTTCAAACAATATTAAACATTCATGTGTACCAGACTCTATGAACAGCAAGAAACATTAACAAATAGTATTCAAAATGCAATTCTCCCTAAGGTATCTTTGTCGTGTGTAGACATATCATGTTACCAAACTTTATTTAAACTATGTGATATTAAAATTCCTATGACAATATGGCAAACTGTGATCAGGTTTCGGATTTTGTTCAAAGCCCCTTGCGTATGTACAGAACTGGAAAAAAATAAAATTCCAGCCTCTAATACAGTAATGTAAAACCTAGTATGTAAAATGACATTTGACATATGCCCTTTGTATCATAGAGACCAAAGTACTACAATGTTGTATAATATATACTTACAAGACAACAAAACATGAAATGGTAAAATGTTAAAACTACTTTTGCTATCTCTCACTGTGGGTACCTGATGATGACATTGGCAATCTATCATCCTTTCAGATTAAACTGTGCATTAAGTTGACATATTCATATCATAGGACAGTTGAATGTACATTGATTTATTTCTCATTGTCCTTTTCTTCCCTATTTCACAAAAGACAAGTTCTGTAATCTAACATATCATTAACATGAATTGTTTTCTTTTAACAGAAGCTAATTAGGTGATGCCTAAATCAGACTATAACAGCAGAAAGACTAGTTCCTCAAAGAGGTATAATGAACATACATTTGATGTTGAGTGCTGTTCATCTGAACATGTAACTTTAATATATGCTTTTCAATCTCTAGTTCAATGTATGAGCAAGAGAAAAAAGGATCAGGATGACAAAATCTAGAAAAAAAATGTATCAAAATAAAATTTGATTGAGCACAAACAAATCCTGGTCAACAGTTCATGAAAGTGAAAATTAACCCAATGGATCCGTATGACATGACCATCAATGTTTAATGTTTGAAAATAAATGTGCTAGACATCCGAGGTAATACAGCACTATGCTAGACATCCGAGGTAATATAGCACTATGGTAAAGTATTGCATCGGATAGGGCAAAGGAGAGTTAAAGATTATGATAAAATGTGTTAGATGTCAAAGGTTTAAGAACATTATAGGATAATATGGTAGTGAAAAGGGGGATAGGGGAGCAAGTGAGCTAGAGCAGAAGTTAGCATAAAGGGGAGGGGAGGGCGATTGAGTGAATTATAATCTATCTGTTACTGGAGAATGTATAGGAAAAATATTCAAGGAAGAATAGAGATAGCTGTTGAAGAGTAGGAGAAAAATCTGGGTAGAGGGGATGGTGTTAAATATAGAGATTAGAGGGTGTTACAGGAAAGTATGGTAATGAAAAGGGGAAAGGAGGGAAGTAAATGAAGTAGAGCAGTGATTAATAAATGGGAAAGGTTAAGGAGGTAGATCGATTAAATGAATTGTATTGTATCTGTGACTGAGGAAGGAATAGGGATAATAGATGATAATGTTATATAAGGTTGTATTAGTAGTAGGGGATTAGGTATCTGGGGGTTGAGACAAAGGATCAGGAATAGGTGAAGGAGTAGTGTCTGGGGCTTCAATAGGGACAGTGGGGTCTGGGGAAGGATATTGTGATAAAAGAGATTCACGTGTATATCCAGGAGGGAGTGGGAGGGATAGTAGGGAAGGATGGGGTTTTGGGGGGAAGTTCAGTTTGGGTGGTATGGGCGGTTTGGGTGGTTAAGAGGATGAGGCATCTTGGGAAGGGGTTGGGGGAACATAAGGGGGCAGAGCAAGTGAGTGAATTGCAGTGTATCTGTGACTAGGGAAGGAGTAGGGACACTGATAAAGGAAAACAGAGGTGGCTGTTGGAGAACTAGGAGGATAAGAATCTAGGGGTTGAGAAAGAGAGACTGGGGAAAGTGGTGAAGCATGAGGAAAAATGTTTGGAGAGGAGGGGTCTGGAGAAGGACACTGTTGAGATAGAGAGGATTTGTTTGAGTATTCAAGTGGTAAAGAGGGTGGGGTATGTTGGGAGGGTGTAGGAGGAAGGGGGGTGGAGGGAACTTGGGAAGGAGGAGGATGAATATCTGCAAATACTTTAAATGTAGCAGGAGTAGGAACAGAGGGACTGGGGGTGGATGAGGGAGCGGAGTGTTCCCTTGGGTCATCTTTAGGAAGTTTCGGATGTCTTCAAGGGTTTCTGAAGGGGAATTTGGTATAGAGGGCTGAGAAACAAAGGTTCTCTTATAAGGAGGAGAAGAGGAGATGGATATCTGAGGAACAGATGAAGAGGAAGGTGTAGGAGAGAGTGTAGTAGGAGAGTGTGGAGTGGAACGTTTAGGTTGTCTGGTATGACAACTAAAGTGAGGTGGAGGGGTATGTATCCGGGAAGTGGTAGAGATTGGAGTATCTGGATTTGGGACGGAAAATGGATTTGACTGGTGGATATGGTGAGTAGACATAGGATGTAGGTTTTGGGTATTGGGAAAAGATACCTGGGGGATGCAGAAATATCTTGTGTAGAGGCGGGAGCAGAGCGCAGGACTGTTTTGGAATAAGTTGAGAGAGAAAAACCTCGTTGTTGTGCTTCCTGTCTGGCCTCTCGTAGAGTGAGGCCTAGTTTAAATCTGAGGACTGCTACCTCACATTCAAACTTATAGGCAGGGCAGCTCCTATATAACACATTATGGGAGTCTCCACAATTGGAACATGTACGTGACTGAGCAGGGCAATTTGAACAGTCATGACCAGGTTGGGCACATAAAGGGCCTCGGGCTGTGGCGCGACAATGTTTGGCTGGGTGGCCAAAACGCCAACATTTTTGACATTGATGGGGAAGGGGTTGATATTGTCGGTCATGATAAGACAGTCCACCAATATAAACCTCATGGGGAAGGTCTTGTCTATGGAAGCTAATCTTGGCAATATTGACATGAGATTTATGTTGGCCTCTAGGAGGAAGAGTGTAACACTGTACTGCTACTGCATCATATTCATCAAGGCAAGAAAGTCAGTCATTTCACAGTCTGACCAGTCCTTGTTATACATGGGACAAGCATTTGGGAGAATAGAAACAATTCCAGTACAAGAATTAAGAGTTGGGTGAGGTTCGGCAGGAATGGGTTTGCCAGTAAGGTCAGTTAGGGCAGATAGTGCATGAGCTTGAGCTTCAGATGTAACCGTGACAAGGCGTGAACGATCAGAGCGACTGCGAAAGGTAACCTTGCCTACTTGTTTCTGGAGGCACTGCTGAAAGAGAAGGGTATTCTCAGAATAGGGGGCTATGGGGGGAATCACAAAGAATCGATCCCACTTGGCTGGACCAAATAGAGTACCCAAAAAGTTTGCAGAGGTAGAGGTAGTAGAAGGACAAGGGCGAGAGGAAGATGGGGTGGTGTGGAGTGTAGTAGTTCTGCGGGGAGGAGGACAATAAGGATGAAGAGTAGTAATAAGGGAAGAGGGGGTTGACATTGAAGAGGGTTGTGTAGTAGGGGATGAAGAGGAGAAAGTTGGGGATGAGGAAAAGGTATTTTCCAGGGGTTGAGTAATAACCTGAATGGGTTTTTCAGAATGGTTAGAGTTGTTCGTAAGCGTCAAAGAGAGGGTATTAGCATCAGTGGTCGGAGCCGTGGTCAAAAGAGGGGCAGGGGTCGGAAAACCATCAAAATCAAATTCAGATAGGCTATTTGATGAAGGGGCAAGCCTTAATGCCTCTATCAAGCGTAAGGAATCTTCATTACTGGCCATGGTGATCCTGAATAAACTGGGGAAAAGAAATGGTCTACCCCTTAGGGTCCCCTTAAGGGGTAAGGGCTAAGTAATTAACCAAGGGAGTACCGTGCCTATGGCTCCCGGAGGCCGTTCGTGACTGACACAAAGCCAGCCTTTCATCCTTTCAGAATGGCTCTCACACCTTAGGAATGGGATAGAAGAAGGGAAGAGTAAAGAGATACGGAAGAGGAAAGAGAAGAAAGGAAAAAGCAAAATTAGTTGAGGCAAGGGCTGAGGCCCAAGGTAGGGGTAATCCTCTACATTGGGTCTCAGTCCCCGTCTCCTAAGCCCTCCCACAACGACAACATGCTAGGTTTTGGGAGGGCATGACCATCAAGGCATATAAAAATTTGGCTGAGGGACTGGGTGATGGGAATATGCTGTTATGTCATAGAAAAATTTGGCTAAAGGTCAGGGCAAATGAGAAGGACTCATAATGAGTGCATGAAGCTCTTGGAGGAAGATTAAATTTAGTGGACCTTCAGGAAGAGACTCCTAAACAAGGGTGGCATGTACCAACCATGAGCCATGACTGTAAGAGTACTGGCTTCAGTGACGATACTATTTCCATGCTCAGGAATCTATTCCAGAGTTATAGACAAAAACTGATCCAGCAGAAATTTCCAAACAAAATTTAAGTGATTAAATATATCCTGTATTTCTCTCTTTCTGACCATAAAATATAGAATGTAAATATTGGGTGTGAAAAAACTCACATTTATCATACATTTTATTGTATTCTGAAAAAGCACCATCAATTTTCTTAAGCTTATTCAAAACCTTTCATCATCTCCGACTGAACTTGTAGATGTGGATGTCCTCACACCTATAAAGTTCATGCTGTTCTTCTAAGGCAATTTTCTCTTTGCAAAAGTGCTCTTCCATCATCTCAAAAAACTTCTTCTGGAGCAACGGCTTATTTCCAATGGTTCTTTCCTCATAGCTGAGAAGGACTTTTGTATCTGGACTGCATAGCTTGTAAAGAGTTGACACCAGTGGTTCCAGAGACTAAGAAAATCAATAATATTTGAATAGATAGTTAAATATATTTGCCTGAGTAACTCTGCATATAAAACATCAAATACAATAAAACAATTAATCAACTAACCAATAA